AAAAAAAAAAAAAAAAAAAAAAAAAAACCAATTTCAAAAAATTCCGAAAAAAACATATGTTATGGAGAAAAATAAACTAAACAACATTTGCCTGCGCACTACATCCAAATTCGTTACCAAATTTGAATTAAAAATCAAATACAGAAAATAAACACTGATAAAAATAAGAAAAAATAAAAAGAGAATTAAAATGAGTGACTGTGCCAGCACATTTTCGACACCGCCATCTTTGGCGATTTTTAATTGTTTTTTGGCATTGACAAATGCCCTGAAAATAATACAGATATGTAGTTTACGTAATCAACAACTCATTTAAAATTTTTCAAAAAGTAATAAAATTGTTTAGGCCTCGAAATAAAGTGAAAACTAAAAGTTAAAAGTGAAAAAAAACAAAATAGTGAGTGAGCACGTTTTGACACCCCCATCTTTGGGGATTTTTAATGTTTTGTTGGTTTAGCAGAATGGCTTCAAAATTTATAGGCATGTAGGTTACATCATAGAGAACTCACAAAAAAAATTTCAGAAAAAAAAACTTATTTTTAGGCCCCGAATGTTTTTTGGCGGGGCCGAACCTGGAGGTGTTCGGCCCCCGAACGGGACCCCGAACGCCCGAACGTTCGGGGGCCAGCCCGGGGGCCCCCGAACGTTCGGTCAGGTAACCCTGATTATTATTATTATTATTATTTAATTCGTAACTGCGCCACATCACATGCATGTGCATGTGCACTATGCGGTGCACGTGCGCAACTTGCGCACACATGATGCGCCGCATGTATGGTACGCACAGATTATCACAGCAGGGACGATGGATGGCACCTCTATGAAGTCACTCGACGCTTCCAGGAGGAAGGAAAACGCTATTGTGAGCCTCCAGGCACTCAGTTCCCACGGTGCCCAAAAAAAAAAAAAAAGATTATTGGATAGTCTTCCGAAGGTCAGATGAACTCCACTGGTCACCAGATCCCATAGAATGCCTCCGTCAGTCAACCAGACTGAATTACCAGAATGCCCCTCTTCCTCTCTTAACCCGCCAGTACATCGCCCAGGGAATCCAAAAATTCTGGAGGCTGGGGGGCTACCCAAACCCAAATGGCTGGCCGCTGGCGGCGCCAGCCAGAAGAAAAGGAAAAGCGTTGTGCTGGCAGTTCGGCAAAGCTTAGCGCTCAGGGCGATTCCGCCTTGACCAAACGAGGCTCGGATGTACTGGTGGTTATAACTTCGTGTCTTGAGCACAGGGTGGTTATGCCTCCCTCAGTCAACCAGACTGAATTACCAGGATACCCCTCTCTTCCTATCTTGAGCACATTTCCCACCCTCGGTCAACCGGATTCAATTATCAAAACGCCTCTCTTCGTGTCTTGCACACATTTCATTACGTGAAAATAACTGAATCGTAAATGCCCTTCCTCCTGTCTAACAATAAAAGTCTATGGCCGACGGTTTTCCTGCCTACTGGTTGGGCCGACTTGAAGGCAGTCTGCCAACCAGTCAATAGGCGGCCATCAACTGAATTTTTTTTAATCTGAGTTTGAGGCGGTACTGCGCTTGCTGAGTACAGCCCAAATCCGCCGAGATACTTCAGAGGACAGAAGGGGGGAGCGGGGGGTATGGGGGGGTTATGAGGGTGGTATAGGGGGGGGATAGGGGGCTATGAAGGAAATACGAGGGTCTTGGGGGTGCTGGGGGGGTATGTAATGGTGTTTGGGGGAGGTGGATGAAGGTGTTGGTGGGGCTATTGGGGGTTACGAACCCCACAATTTTTTTGTGGGGTGCCGACCGGTGGAACGGTCGGCGGGTAGGTCGCCAACCAATCGAGGGGCGCCGACCATCAGCGCGACTACTCTGTTAAAAGAAGTTATAAAAACACATTTCTTTGGCTGACAAATTGACAAAGCCATTACAGGCACAGAAACCAGATAAACTGTGCTCTTATTCAGACCGCACGACCTGTGAAGGTGCGAGTAAATGGTATTGTTCATATCTACAACACTTTTAGCTCAGCAGAGCAGATTGGGGCTAGACCTTTCTGTTCGAGCGAGCCTCTACGAGGAATGTGGCTCCAAAGAGTAAACGGAGCAAGCTGGGGTCGAAGGGAGGAAAGTGCGAAAGATAGGGGATCATGCACGTGGCTGGAAAAATGCAAGGCACAGAAGACAGTGCGTCGTCTGAACAGAGGCAGAAAAGAGCGTACATACATTGAGATCTCAGATCAGTCAAATGATGATTTAAGTCCTGTCAACCAACCAGCCTCGGACTGCATTTCCTGTTATTTATTGCCTTTTATTAAACCCAAGACAAGACAACCAAACTTAGAAATCAACATACAACCCTGAAAAAAAAATTAAAAAAAATCAACATAGATCTCTAATCGATTTGCACAACCAATCCAGAGAGCATCTACGTCACTCGTCTTCTCCCTTCAAGATGGTGACAGCAAACCAGCCAAACCAACCAATCAAACCAATCAAACCAATCAACCAATCAGCCGATCAAACCAATCAACCAATCAACCGATCAAACCAATCAACCAACCAACCAATCAAACCAATCAACCAATCAACCAATCCACCAATCCACCAATCAACACATCAAATCAACGCCCGCCAGAACACCTACCAAAAACCAATCAAGCACTTCAGACAACGGAGAAACAAATCCAAATACCTGGCATGACTCACCTCTTCCCTACAGAGAACAGTTGTTGCAAAGCTTTGATCATATACACAGAATGTGCCAGCCAGAGCACTGGCAACGGCATTACCGTCATTTCTCCCGGGTCTTGCCTAACCTTTTTCTCAACGACAGGCTTCGTGAGGGTATACACCCTTCCTCCCCTTCTTCACTTCATCACGCGAGCTGGGAGAGGAGATGCATCGGCACCTGGCATCGAGTAAAGATCGAGCATCTTTTTTATTTTTTATCTTTTTACAGGGATCTTACATTTATGCTGCACAAGCCTCACAAACTTTGGTCAACTGACCGGAAGACGTCCTCGTGGTTACACCTCTCTCGAGCTGGTCCATCTCTTATGACATGAGGTGGTAGAAGAAGTGCGACAACCCATGGTGTCGAGACGATTGATTCCAAAAGCCGACAGCGATAAGGAGGGCGATGTATGCGAAGATGATGATCTTACACCAGTCGGTCCGTGGAGCTGACACGGGAATGGGCACCCCTGAAGCATCATAACCGGGGGCGTCGTCTCCATTAACGTCATCACCAGATGCCCGATCAAAGACAACACCTGACATCCCGTCGGGTCCATTTCCGCCAGCGAAGCCATTCCCTCCTCCCTCCCTCGACGTCCTCACTCCGCCAAATCTTCTCCGAAACTGCGTTAAGCTTCCCCCCACCTTCTGCTTGGATGAGCACCGTGACGGTTCGCTGTACACAAGCAAGTACCTTAACCGCACCATATCCCCATTGCGGGCAACGATGTACGTACGGGGAGGGTGCCGAGAATCGTCACCAGACTCGTCCACCCTTGCACATGCGCTCTCCGTATCATTTTGTCCTTGCATCACTCCGACACCGTTAGCGACCTCACACACAAGAAGGTACCTTGCCCGCGGTCCGAAGCACGATCGCTCCCATCCTTCGCCAGCAGAACAGTAGTTCAGTGCCACCGTCGGATCGACGCAAAGATAGATGCCCTCACCGAATGCCGCACCTGTCCTCTGCAGTGGTGTCCCACTCATGTTCTGCAGACCTGCAACAACCGCCGGGTGAAGATCAGTTACGTCAGTTAAATGCTGAAGGGAAACACACTTCCTGATACACACAGTCCAAAATGAGTCGGAGAGAAACGGGAGTTCCATGCTACAGGCCCATGCCAGAATCATATGACCATCACCGCCTACCCTACCCCATCATTACTAGCCTACCTTCTTCGTCCAAATACAACGTACAGTCATTATTGCTGCTATTTAGACTGGAAGACAGCCCAAATACAGCTATAATGACCATAGCCAAGCAAATCGATGTATTAGGGTGAAGAACGTAGCCTAACCCAGCCAAGCAAATCGATGTATTAGGGACAACAAAATGAAGGAGCAGGCAAAGTGAATATAACCAACTAGAAGTTTAAAATAGCAAAAGGATCAGGCATGCCAATTCTCTTGTACTTAAAAATAGTAGCTCTTTTTTTTTTTTTTTTTTTTTTTTTTTAGTAGCTCTCTGTACGATTCAACAGAGTTTTGGTACTTAAAAAAAAATAGACCTTCCGACCATTCGGGTTACTCTCCTGATCATTGGCCGCAGAAGTGCCGTAAACAGTAAATGACTGTAAATCCGAAGACCAGCTTTTCTGCATACAGGACCTGCAGAGAGCCAGGTAAGATACCAAGACCCTGAACTCTAGTCCCTCAGCACCATTCATTTTTCTGTGGACCAGTGCCTGCTGAGGACACACACAACCATCAGCCTGCACCTGAACACATCATACATAGGGGACATTATTATGTGTAGCATGCTGCGGCTGCAACACGGGTCCTGTTTTGGGCCCCGCCGGTTGTTTCAGCCCCCAAGGCTGCGGGCCCATTTTTTTTTGAGCAACCTGGAGGTCCACGGCCATTTTTCCAGGCCAGGCACACACTTGGTTCCACGTGCGCTCTTTGCTGGTTTTTTTCTGGACTATTTTTGTCTGTTTCAGATGTGTCGGTTCAAACTATTCCTTTTGGCCAAACAGGCGGATGCCTGTTCGGACCAGTGGATTTCATTTTCAGCCGTTGCAGGCCAGGGTCAGATATGTCCGTACGTGGGGCTGGAACAGGCATTCACCTGTTTGTGCCTGGCCCAGTCCTCAGCACCCTGCTGCATCAGCAAGGTTGCCGGACGTCCGGTAGGGACGCCCAGAGAGGCTGTTTTTTGGGACAGGATCGTAGGACCAGGACTTGGGCCTGCGATCAGGACCATCGATCGGACATCAGATCCGACGGTCCTGATTGCAGACCGAGGACTGCTCAGCCAGGCCCGGCGGTATATAGCTGGGCCAGTCCTCCACTTTGATGACATTCAGGGTGTAGCCTCAGTTGGGCAGCACGCTGCTGGAGCAGCACCAATTTGGGGAGAGCGGTGATAGAGCAGCGCTGGAGGAGTAGGCTGGAGTGGAGAGGTTGGCGGAGGCCATGTCCACGAGGGAGAGAGAGACTTACCTGGGCACCATAGCTGGGACTTCATACCTGTCATGGGCCCGGCCTTCAGCAGTGACCTGCATCGGGAGTCATCACCTTTACTTGTCAGTAGTTGTGGCATCGTCATCAGGAGTGCGCGAGAGAGGAGAGTTCTTCTTCTTCATCTCCTTCTCCGCTCCTCCATAGACAATATTCTTCTTCTTCCCCTCTTCTTCTTCTTTTTTTTTCAGAGAGAGAGAGAGAGAGAGAGAGAGAGAGAGAGAGAGAGAGAGAGAGAGAGAGAGAGAGAGAGAGAGAGATTTCAGGCAGTGGCAATTTCGGGCCTGTGTGCGCCCAGGATCTGATTCAACATTTTTGAGGACAGACATTGGTTGGACATTTGTCGGGGAGACTATTTCTGGACGACTATGAGTTCTACTCTTGTCTTCTCTCTCCCCTCCATCTTCGTCTCTCCTCCCCCCCTTCATCATCCGTGGTTTCTTCCCCATGCGTGTGCTCAAGGAGGGACCTTTCTTCCGTGTATGATCCCCCTCCTTGCTGTGCGACATGTGTGATGATGATTGTGTGAGTCGAGTCTGGATCTGATGTGCCAGGTCATATCTTTGACTCTTCCACTGCGCTACATTGCATTACATCATTTTGTTTTGAGTCCTGTTCATCACACTGGCGCTCCTTGGACATGTGCATCGCTCATCTTCAGAGGAGCATGCATCATTACGCCTGTACCCGACCAGAAAAAAAGTGCGGATTGTGATTGTAGTGCCCATATGTTGAATTGCTTTTTTTCTTTGTTTTCTTTTTGAGAAAAAATGTTTTCTTTTTGAGAAAAATTCATTGCCAAGAAGCAAAAGAGGCTGGGAATGCGTTGAATTGTGTGGTAAGACGAGCGTTCAGTAACTTTTTTTTTTCTTTTTTTTTTTCTTTTTTTTTTTTTAACGCACAAAAATGCTGCACATGGACACACTGCGATGTATAGGCAGCAGCTTCCTGAATGTGTCGTTGGATTCCCAAGTCAATCCTCTGTACGGCATACTCACACTAGGACCGTTTCAACTTCTCTGTGAACATAAATTGCGGTCAGGTGCATCCAGTCTCGGCCGGGAAAGCGGTAATATACATCGAGGTCGGTCCTCGTGTGAGTATGCCCTTGGATTCCTTCTTGCAGCACTCCGGGAGATTCATATCAAGCGCTGAAAAAACAGTTATATAGAGTCCTCCCTTCCAGAACATGAGCCACAGCTCCCTGCTCAAAAACTGGGCCGCCCCTTGTGAATGGCAGAAAAACCTACGGTAGGCCGCTCCCTGGTCGAAATTGTTGATCGATTGGCTCAACTGAAAATGGAGAGGCCAAAGATTGCTGAGAGCGGGGGGGGGCAAGAAGGGGGGAGAAAGGGGGTGGTAGTCTGAGGGCATCACCTTCCACGGCATGGAGAATACTAATTTGCTTGTAACAGGGGGGGGCAAAGGGGGTGGTAGTTTGAGACCATCACTTCCCAAGGCAAGGAGAATACTAATTTGCTTGTAGGCTTGTAGCAGCTACCAGGGCGGTCATGACTAGCCTCAACGACATATCATCCCGAAAATTTGACGAGTACTATGCATGCTTGACTACGTGGGAATCAAGCATAAGGCCAGCATTTTACTCTTTGCATGTAAGACAAACAGGCCCTATGTGTCTTCATCTGGCCGTCTACGGACTGGTCAGGCCTGTTTCCCCCAATCAGCAATTCCATGCCCCCATCTTCTTGTCTGGTTCCCGTTCCATGCTGTTCATTCAAATAACCCCAATCAAGTCCATGTTATGCACTCATCTGTTCTTCACCTGATCACCAATTTCCTTCCTCCATCTGGCGGTCTATTACAATTGTTAGGTCTGTCAGTTGCACACAGCTGCAATGCTAAGACAATAGATCATGAAGAGTGAAGGACAAACACATCAAACCCAACCTCATGTCAGCTGCCGGCTTGGCCTGGCTGACTGTCTGCCTAGTCAGTCTTCCTGGTTATTTGAGAAAACCCTAACTAGCTCGTGTCAGCTGAAGGCCGGGCTTGGCTGACTGTCTGCCTACTTATTACTTAGCCTTCTTGTTTATTTGATGGCATGTCAGCTGCCGGCCTGCCGGCCTGACCTTGCTGATGATCTGCCAACTTCAGTTTTCCAGGTTAGCTGGGAACCCCTAACCTTGCGTCAGCTGCCGGCCTAGCATGGCCGACTGTCTGCCTACTTAGTACTTGGCCCTTTTGGTTATTTGACCTCGTGTCAGCTGCCGGCCTGGCCTGGCTGAGTTTCTGCCTAGTTAAACTTCTTGGGTAGCTGGGAACCCATAACCTCGCGCCGGCTGCCGGCCTGGCCTGGCTGATTGTCTACCCACTTACTCTTCTTGGTTATGCAATAAATCGCAGTTTCCCAGTGGGGTTACACACTAAGTGTTTGGCTTTGTAGTTTCTTTTCTTGTTTTGAGCCTTGCGGGACTTGATCCCGTGACCTGTAATTTGTATGTGTTTTGTTTGTGAGTAATGTGCCCTATGGGACTTTATCCCTGAGTCTGTCACTAGTAGTCTCTGTTTGGTAGCCTTAGGCCATTCGACCTTTTCCTTTTGCCTTGTCATAGGTCTAGGTCCCCTTTTCCCCCTATTTCCATCTAGATGCAGATGAGTACTGGGTTGTTGCCTTTGGAGTCCGTCATAGGTGTAGGCAGAGGGTAGAAGTAGCGGGCAGGAAATTTGGTTTGGGTCTTTTCACGTTTTCGTTTGGCTGGGGAAACTCTGCCCGTCCGTTGTTGGAGCGCTGCTGCTCTATTTTGGGCGAGGAGGTCATCTTCTTCCTCGAAGCCCAGCCATAGCTGGGGTTGGGAAACGAAGTTGAAGATCTCACTGCTGCTATTTCGCAGCTCTGCATGAGAGCTTCCACAGTACTGTGTTGTTGGGTTTGGGTGGTGCCATCTTCCACTTGGCAGCCATATCTGTTGTTCCTCCTCTCGAGGAACTTTGTCTTCTTCGAAGTGCTGGATCGGTCGTCTCCTTCTTCATCAGGACTTCCAGCGCTGCACTTCCTTGCGGGTGCTGAGCTGGCGCTGTTATGATTAGGGTTGCTGGTTCAGATTGGCACGCACATTGTGACAGCACCTACGGCAGCCATAGCCAGGGAGGGGTATGAGGTGGCGAGGAGGAAGAAGAAGAAGACTCCTGCATGCATGCTTTGTTGAACACTTGTTTTTGGTTGTTCGGGGTTGTTGTAAAAATCGCGGTTGTGTTTCTTGGAACAAGTACTCTGGATTGATTGGAGGAGGACAGGGGATTACAGAATTGAAATTCGTTTTTTTCAGTTCTCTGTGTATTTTGAGCTTCCACTGTGCATATCTTCTCTCCGGTTTTGTGTGGATTTGCCTCCTTCGAGTCTACTCACTCTGCAATTGCATGCGTGTATGGGAACGTGTGAATTCATTGTGGATTTGAAGATCAATCGGGTACATAACAGTTATCTGAGAAGCCATAACCTCATGGCAGCTCTGCCAGCCTGGCTTGACTGACTGACTGTCTGCCTACTTAGTCTTCTTGTCTTGGTTATTTGAGAACCCATACCCTCATGGCAGCTCTGCCGGCCTGGCTTGACTGACCGACTGTCTGCCTACTTGGTCTTCTTGGTTTTTTGAGAACCCATAACCTCGTGTCAGCTCCCGGCCTAGCGCGGCTGACTGTTTGCCTACTTAAGTCTTCTTGGTTGTTTGAGAACCCTTGGACAGACATGATGGTGGCCAAGAAGTTTGCATTGTATGGGGCGGAGACTGTTTGGTCTTGGGGGGCCCTGCCTTTATCACCCCCCCCTAGCAGAGAGGTGGGGTTCTGGGTTAAAAAAAAAAAAAAAAAAAAAGACACTGCTCTTGCCACATGTACAGACATGATGATGGCCAAGAAGTTTGCATTATATGGGGCAGAGACTGTTCGCCCTTGGGGGGACCTGCTTTTATCACCCACCCCCCTCTAGCAGAGAGGTGGGGTTTTGGGTTAAAAAAAAGAAAAGAGACTGTTTGCTCTTACCACATGGACAGACATGAGGTGGCCAAGAAGTCTGCATTATATGGGGTGGAGACTGTTTGCTCTTCGGCGGGCCTGCTTGTATCATCCCCCCTCTCCCCCCCTCGCAGAGAGGTGGGGTTTTGGGTAAGAAAAAAAAAAAAAAAAAAAAAAAAAAAAAAAAAAAAAAAAAAAANAAAAAAAAAAAAAAAAAAAAAAAAAAGAGACCGTTTGCTCTTACCACATCTGATGATACTGTGAAGGTTCTCTGCCGAGGTTCCGTGGTATGCCATGAAACTTCCATTCTGCGCCTTTGCTAGGTCGAATGGCTGCACTACGTCTGGAGGAGCAACCTGCAAGTCAGATAAACAGACAATGATCAGGGGTTAGCCCCTTGGTCCGCTCTTTTTCTTCTCTTCTCTTCTCTTCTCTTCTCTTCTCTTCTCTTCTCTTTCTTTTCTTTAGGAATTCGGACGTCCGCACAGGGATTCTGCCAGGTGCAACAGGCAGGTGCGGATTCCTTGACAGCCAGAAACTACCGGCTGGGCTGGTTCCCGATGTCCAGATGCCGTCTGGGGGCTAATCCGTTGCTAAAATGGGTTCACCAGATATTGGGAGAGAAGAGGGGACTAGGGAAGATACTGGCTATGGTGGGGATCACTTGAAAGACTGTTAACCCTACTTTTTTTTTGTGGTTGACACGCCATTGAACAGCACTGGTCGATTAGGGGGGGTGCAGCGGGCGGGGGGGGGGAAGACACCCCTGTGGTCCTGTGGAGGAAGCCAACGAACAAACAAGGAGTCGAGGAAGTTAAGAAGGCTGCAGGGCAGTACGAACGGGCCCAGCTCAGTTGGACACACCCATGAGCTGTTGAAATACTGACCCCTTGGTCTGAAATTTGAATCCAGATGCAATCAGATGGACAAAAACATAATTCTGAGTTACCTGGGGCTGGTCCGATCAATGACAGTATCTCAAGGCTGTCGCCCTTTCTTTCTTTTTTTTCCCCCCCCTCCGATTCTGTTTTTGCCGAACCTGAATTTCACTGCGCACCGAGTCTTGCTGAGCTTTGGGTGTGAGTGGTGCCATTCCATTTCTCATTTCTGGTACCACATCGAGAAATGATTTCGTCACGTCGGTGATATTCACGAAAGTTGGGGGGCAAAAAAGGAAACTCAGCTTCGGTCGTTTTCAGGTTGGATACATTCTTTTAGGACAAGTGTGCGTACCCCCTCACAGATCCACGGTCAGACGAAACAAAAGAAGAACACAAGAAAAAAAGAAACCAAGATTTGGCCATGAAACGGGTCTGATACATTCTTGAAGTACGTAGTGAGAGTATGCCCTCTGTGAGGGCCACTAGATTTCACGCGGAGTATGCCGTGCCTCGCAGACAGGGCACTAAGAACAGAGTAAAAAAGGGAAAAAAAAACAAAAACAATGACATCTGAAACTTGCCCTATTAGTGGTTAGATGCATTCTGGCACGTACTAGCCTGAGTAAGGCATAGGTGACCCTCTTCCCGACATCACTGACGTGGACAAGTTCTTTCTTTTTTTTTTCGACATTCGACTAGCGGCCCCACATGGTCCAAATGTTTTCTTTTTTTTTTTCCCTTAAAAAATGTGGACCATTTCTCGATTTATGCGTGTCATCCTTGCGCAGGGGCCATGCTACTCTTCTCTGTATCGTTCCAATTTTCGCGGATGTCCCGAAGGACAGGCCCAAATGTTTTCTTTTTTTTCATTTTCTTTGTTTTTGCCCCCGACCCTCGCCCGAGCCCCCGGCCTTTTCGGAGTAGGCGACTTTTTTGGGACTTCGCGTCCCAGTGTACAAGGTAGTGGTGGTTTAAACTTTAAACCATCAGTACACCCGAGGCTAAATGTACGAGCCTCATTTTTTATTTTTCTGAGCCTGGAAGCAACGTGGGCACCGGCGCTGGGACAGTTCAGGGTGGTACTAGTACCGCCCTCTGTGCTGGACCTGCTGCCAGCACATGGAACAAACAGGAGGCCGTCTTCTCCTAGTGTTTTCACTCATGTGCGACTCACGCCTGGCCTTACTCACGGTCAGATACGTCCAGGGAAGTGGTAGCGTGAGAATGGCCAGAAACGATAGGGGGGGCCTGACAGCAACTTTCTTGCTCCCCGCCTCTCACGGGGTGTCGTATCAGTAACTGCCAAAATTCTTTGTTCTTATTATTATTAAGAAAAAATATTATTAAGAAAAACAAGAAAATGTCCTTCGGGACATACGTTAAAGTTGGAACGATACAGAGAAGATTAGCATGGCCCCTGCGCAAGGATGACACGCATAAATCGAGAAATGGTCCAAATAAAATTAAAAAAAAAAAAAAAAAAAAAGAACAAGGAAGGGGCCTCGCTGCACTAATCTCCAAATGTGCGAAATGAGACTGAATCCACCGCTAGAACATGGGAAGATATGTTGCTATCTTTTTTCCCTTTTGTGCATGCGGAGAGCAGAGTGCAGCGATGCCCAAGGGCACACGAAGCTACAAATGCGTTTGCATCACAGGTTCATCCACGCCTGGCCAGAACTGCAGCCAGATACAATCTGAAAATTTGTAGTGTGAGAACGCCCTGAAAAGGAAGGGCCTGACAGGAATGGATTGCTCCCCGCCTCTCACGGGGAATCACACCAGTAACTACCAGAAATCTCCGACTTATAGGGAAAAAAAAAAAAAAAAAAAAAAACATAACCATGGGCACACTGAAAAGCAAAGCGTGGCGCTTGCTTTGGGAAAGTCTGGAGCCTGTAGCTTCCAGAAGCAGCAGTAGGCAACCGTTTTCACGGGCAGCTAGAGCCTAGAAAACTTTTTTGGGTAAGTTTTTTTGGGTTGTTTCTTTTTCTATTTTTCGTCTCCTCTCGTGATTCACTGTGGTGAATCATGCTGTTTTCTCGAAACACGAGGAAACAAGTACAACGGGCGAGGGATTTGGGCAACACGCCTCACTACTCTCCACATGCAAAAGGTGCGAGGACGTTGGGCCTCGGCATGCCCGTAAGGGGCGGCCCCGCAGCACAAGTCGTGCCCGCCTTGCGACCCCGTATCTCGAAGAGGCCTGAATATTGCAAAATTTGCCACTCCCAGTGGGCGCCAGACAATCACCACACGCCAGTTGGTTGCATACGCCCTGCTCGCGAGCATCGGAATCTTCCATGAGCCTTCTAGGCTCTTCTGCTATTGACTTGGAAGGTGGCCTCTCGGCCAATCAGAAAGCAGGGAACAACACGCTGGGCACTGGGTAGTTGGACGCGCCTAACTGCTGCCTGCCCACGCCACTGTCTGAATAGGCCTGGGCGAGGACTCCCTGGCCCAACGTGAAGCTACTGGAAACGAGGCCGAGCAGCCTTAGGGCCAGGCCACTTCGCATATAGCAAAGGTCGAGGATTCGGGCAGCTGCTGGGTGAGCGGCAGCGCTGCTGGACAGTGTGCTCAAGTCCACTGGCAGGCAGTGCTCGAGCGCGCGCGCCGAAGCAGGTTGAGAAAGGCCGCTGCGTGGAAGCAGCACCATAGCCCAGCCTCCATAGCCGGGCTCGGGCTTCATCGTGTCAGCGGGGATACGCGGTGGTCCTTGGTGGAGAAGGAAGGTGTGGGGTAAGACGCGGGTGAGCGTAGAGAGGGCGAGTGAGGGAGGTGATGTGAGAGCACGTACCTGGTCCTGCAGAGATCTGCATGGTTGACATCTGCTTGTAGTTTGGTTGCTGCTGCTGACGTCAAGTGGTTGCTTTGTCATTTCTGTAGGCTAGCGAAGTAACCATAGGATCGTAGTCTGGGCGCTGAGCGCCAGTAGGAGGAAGAGTTCAGAGTACATTGTTGGTGGTGGTGAGATAATGCTCTCATTGACAATTGAGCTGCTTTGGTTCTCTTTTCGGTGTAATATCAGCGCATTCCTGCTTTCTGGGCCGAGGTCCCACTAGCAAAGAGGATAGGATCAAGCTCCTGAATCTGGATGTGTTTTATGCAGAGACGCAGAAAGCAGTTCCATCTCTATTTCCTGCATCTCTCCACAAACACGTCCAGATTCCGGCATTCGATCAGATCCTCTTTGCTAGTGGGACCACGCCCCTGGACAGCTTACGATTATCTCGCTTTCAGTGTGATTTTGCAATTCGGAATTCTGTCATTTCGCTATTGCTCATTTCCCTTGCAAAGGCAAAAAATAAAATAAAAAGCTCCGAACGTGATTGCCTCACAGATTCATCCACCCTCTGGCCAGAACTGCGGTCATATACAATCTGAAAAGTTGTAGCACGAGAATGCCGTGAAATGGAAAGGCCTGACATCAACTCTATTGCTCCCCGCCTCCCACGGGGAGTCACATTCGTCACTGCCAAAAAACAACAACAAAAAAAAAAAGAAAGGAAAAAGGGCTTGATTAATGTCTGCCCTTGTGGGCGTTTGTGGAAACGCGCACGGGATAAAAAAACACAAGGACAATCTGCAGTCCGTTTGCCCCCCAGTCCGTTTGCCCCCTTTTCCTTAGGCCCACCGCCTTTTACCCCCATCGCACTACCTGCCCTCCCCCAAGCCTGATAATGCTTCGTAGGGGATGAGATTCTTTTTCAGCAAGGCTGGGGCCGTGTACTGGTGATTTAAGGAGGCTGGAGGGAAAAGAAGGGAAAAGCAAAGAAAGAATGGCTTCCGCATATCTGAGCCGCTTGACTGTGTTGGCATTGCTTATGCAGGGTCAGCTTCAGTACCTGGACAGTTTTGCAATTGTAGAAAGGGAAAGGCTGCGTGAAATCCAGCTACGACAAAAAAGATCTTCATGCTCCCCTGCCAAAGTGAGTGCACCTGGACGTGCATAGGTCCAGGGACATTATCTGTATATTATGCTCAGACCATGTCTAAACACGCAGGTCCCACGCCGTATGTTTGCTCACACTGGTTCTCATCTCTAATGCTTTCGTAATACCTTGAATGCATGCCCGCAGGGCCAGAGCGTGATTGGAAGTTCGCTTGGCTGCCGATGGACGAGCTGGGCATTTCAGCGCTGCTAGGAGGAAGGAGACCGGGAGCTCCCACCTCGGCTATGGTGGAGCTCTACCGGTAGGAGGAGGAAGAAGAGGACTGAGGAGGCAAGTGGGCACCATCGTCATCACCTCGTTAGGCGCAGCATCTGGAAGGCCCCAGTTGGGGTTGCGCCACACCAAGAAGGCTTCAAGGCGGGGCCAGGCATGGCTGCCTGAACAGCAGCGAGCATAGCTGGTTTGTGTTGTCCTTTGCACAGCAGGGCGAGGCCCTAGTAGTCAGCCATAGCCTTGGCCTACATAAAGAGGAAGAAGAAGGGTGGCCATGGCTACGGTGGACCTCATGTTGTGCCTGCAGTAGAAGAGGGATTCGGACATTGATTCTGGTTCAGCCATTCAACATTATTATTATTATTTATTGTTTGAATACAAGGGGAGGAGAAAAGGAGGAAGAGAGTGGTTGGCGAAGAAGGGAATTACCATTGGTCTTTGCTGTTGTACGTCTTCTTCTTCTTCTTCTTCTTCTTCTTCTTCTTCTTCTTCTTCTTCTTCTTCTTCTTCTTCTTCTTCCTCTCTCTCTCCTCTCAAGTTCATTCATTTCTTTTTGAAATTTGGACGGCATTGTGCTCTCTCATGAATGTATACTTCAAAATTGGCCAGGATCGTAACAAATGACAAGAAACGAGGGGAGACGGCGAGGACGAAGGGAGGAGAAGGGGACTACCTTCTTCCCCCGAATACAACGTGCGGTCATGGTAGCTGTATTTAGACTGAAAGATACCCAAAATACAGCTGTAATGGCCGTACGTTGTATTCGGGGGAAGAAGGTAGGGAAGGGACGTTGGGAGAGGTTAGAGGCAGGGGATGCAAGGAGCACGATGGGGGGGGAGGGGGAGTGGAAGGCGGAGGAGAGAAAGAAGAGGAGGGGGGCGAGAAGAGAGGGTAGATGGGAAAGGGAGGCGAGGAGAGGGTAGAGGGATTGGGGGGAGAGAAGGAGGGAGGAGGGAGGAGAGGAGGGGCCAGGGAGGAGAGGAGGGAGGAGAGGAGGGAAGCGAGGTGACAGGAAGAAGAGGGGAAAGAAAGGAGGGAGGGAATGAGGGAGAGGAGAAAAGAGGAAAGAAGAGCAGGTAGGAGATGATGAGGAGAAGCGAGTCCTCATACCTCGAGAACTACATGTGGAACGGCACTGCCCAACCATTGGCTTGCGCCTGCAGACGAGAAAGCCCAAGGAGATGTTCCAGGGGGAAGCATGTGCGCAATCTCCGACGCAGGGTCCTCAACAAGCCGGAGACGGCGCCTGCATGTGACGATCCAATGAAGGAGATAGAGGGCCCTCAGTGGAAGACACTGCAGAGGATTCCGATTTGCATTTTGCTGCTGACCTTGTTGTGATCGCCCATCGACTTCATTTGACTCAGCTCTCGTTAATCTTGCGGCAGCCGCTATAGCTCCGATTCGCGGGAAATGTGCGACGCAATTCTCGGCTCCAAAGAAATCCTTCTCCACTTGCTCAGATCCTTTGCGAAAGAATGTTGTTGGGAAAGGCGCACATACTGCCACACAGAAAAGTCCCAACCAATGCCAAGTCGCAATCCCATCAAAAGAATTGTACGCAATCACAACCCAGCTACTTTATGACCTTAACAGTTCAGCAAACACAGCTCTCGAACTGAACGGAACCGAACTGAACCGAACTGAATGGACCACTTTGTGTTCGGCGTTTGGCGTTCGGCGTTCGCAACTCTGAATGCTCTTCCCATCTGTAAAGTATCTCTAAATAGAATTGACACCAGTGCAAGCAAGGGCCCTAGACGAGAAGTAAATAGAAATTATAGAATAGCATTCAAGCACTGCAGAATGACGAAACAGGCTAACTTAGGCAGGGGTGAAGAAAGGTACATCCTTCCCTACCGTCTTCACCCGAATAGAACGCCCGGTCATCATAGCTGTATTTAGTGCAACTTTCAGTCTAGATACAGTGATCATGACCGGGCATTCTATTCGGGTGAAATCAATGCCATTTTTCGGCCCCCTCCACGCCAGAAGGGGGAGGAGCTTGCGTGAGTATCTATTGTAATTCTTTCTGACTTGCCGGGGGAATACGAACCGGACTGATGCTCCCCAGAATGGAAAAGGAGCCAGAACCATAAGGTTCTGTTTTTATCGGAAAACAAAAAAAATAAAAAATACTAAAAATTTATTTAAAAACTGAGTGAGGACGCCGCCTGGCCGGGCCTGCCCTGCCGGGCTGGGCCCAGCCGGTTGGGCCCGGGGGGCCCGCCCGGGTAAGCCGGGCAGGACAAAAAAACGCCCAGAATTTTTTTTATTTTTTTTTTTGAAACCGGGGTCGTTCTGCGCTCAGCGAGAGGACCCCGAATCTGCAATAAAATTTTGGTTTTGGTGTGGGGATGGGGGGTTGGTCTGGGTGGGGGGTGCTGGGGTTTGGGGGGTGTCTGTGATGGGGCGCAGATGCATTTTTTCCTTCTTTTTTTTTTTTGTAAGGGGTGTGTGTGTATACAAGGAGAGAGAGAGAGAGACACATAACGGCTCCCCTTAACACGGCTCAGACAGCCCGTGCAGGCTATCCGAAGGGTCCTCGCAGACATGTAGCGCAGACCCCCCCACCAAAATTGAGGCAGGTAGTGAATATGAAATAGAGCACGAGCTGGGCGAATATGTAGTCAAGTTTCGAATTCAGGTCTGTGTTTCAGCAGTTATGGGTTGCTCGCGTAGCTAGGGCCTGTTGGTCTCTGCACGTGACTCTTAGGGCTTGACTGCACTACTCACGAAATGTGCAAAATTAGAATGAATCTTCTGCAGAACGTGGAATAATACGCCACCATATGTTTTGTCTTTTGTGCATTTGGTGAGTAAAGGCCCTTAGGGCCACTACACGTATTCCTAAGAAAAGAAAAACGAGAAAAGAAAAGAAAAGCGCAAAAACAGAGAAATGGTGACCCATAACCGACATGCACAGACCTGAATTCGAATCCAGACTATATATTCTCTGGCCACCCTCAGGTAGTACAAGGTTGAAGTGTATCTCTGCATGWCRTCGGGTCCTAGCTAATATGCTCTAGGGATCCTTTCGAACAGAGGCTGAACACATCGAGGACATTTTTGTTTTTCTATTTTTTTAATGCGCCGCATCACTTGTGTGTGCGTGCATGTGCGTGCGGCACCCTGTGCATGAGCTGCAAGTATGATTCGAACANTCTCTCTCTCTCTCTCTCTCTCTCTCTCTCTCTCTCTCTCTCTCACACACACACACACACACACACACATACACACACACACACACACACACACAAAGGGGTTCTGAAATCCCCCGGCAGGTGAGTGCGCTGGGAGGGCCCGGCCCCCAACCGGGTGCCCTGCCCGGCCAGGCCGCCCGGGACCTCCCCCGGGCCCCTGCCTGTCACCCGGGCGGCCCGGATCCCAACTCAGTTTAAAAATAATAAAAAATTATTTAAAAATAATAAAAAATGACACCAGTGCATTCCCACCTGGTAATCGGTAACGGCAGGGAGGCGTAAGGTTCGCCGGTAACGGCAGGGAGGCATAAGGTTCGCCGGTTGCCTGTTTTTGTCGTTTGAAGAGCTCAAGCTCTTACGATGACCGCCTCACCGCCCGAGTCTTCGATGACCGGGAAACTGGGAACGGGCAAAGGTATAACAGAGAGAGGAGGAAGAGAACAGTGACAAAGCTATGTAGGGTAAGGATGCAGATATGAAAGGCAGGGGGGACGCAGATATGTATGAAAGACAAGAATCTTCAATCTGCGGGTGTACACCCCACAGTCTGTGCAGCATTGCAGCCGAGATGAAAGAGAAGAGGTAAGGGAGATGAGCAGCTATACTTAATAATAATAGTGTTAAATACAGCGAAGGTGTACAAGTGCACAAGGAGAAGAAGAGCGTCCGCATGCGGAATCAAGCCCACAACTCAAAATCTGCAATTGACGCACGGAAAACATCGCTGCAACCATCAACCCTACCGCGATGCCACTATTGCTGATGCCCCCACCCACGCCAGGCAATGGTGTGGACACCGGTATGAAAGGCAGGGACACAGGTAGGCTAGAGACGCAAGTAAATTCCCATCTGGTCGGCAATGCTGTACTGTTATTACTGGGTCTTTCTGGGTGCTCGGGCTGCCTCTGGAAAAAAAAAAAAAAAAAAAAAAAAAAAAAAACATCTGGTGCGTAGAATTCCAATGCAAACGGCTTTTGGCTGAGGGTCACCTCAGAATTGCCTACTGAATCCAACATAACAAATAAACTAAAGAATCAAACACAAACAGCTTTTGGCTGAGGGTCACCTCAGAATTGCCTATTGAATCCAACATAACAAATAAATTAAAGAATCAAACTAGCCCCTATTTAAAAACCATTTACATCCCCTTCCCCCCCACCCCACACAACCGAAAACACTGAAAATGAAGAAAAGCCTGGATTCGAGCCGCTTTCGGTGAGTGCACAAACATCCCACCAACGGGGGGGAAAAAACAAAATCAAGAAGGAAGCTAAGAGGCAAGGGAGAAAGGGACGAAGATACGACACATGTCTGATGATCGGATGGGCCTATCGACTGCAGGAAGCCTCAGGCACAACGCATTCGGTCCGAGCTCAACCACGCCAAACTTGCTGAAAAAGTATCGAGGTGCTCGCTTCTGCTGGCGAGCACATTTCCTCACCTGCACTATGTCCCCCGACTTATACTCGGCCCGGGGCCCAGCCTTCCCATTTCGGGCCTTGTAACTCTGAACCTGTGTCTACCGTGGGGCTAGTTCGGTCATTCTCTGCATTTTATGGGCCAGACGAGGGTGAAGTAGCTTTATTATATTATTATATTATTCATTTATTATTTATTAATTTATTATATCATTATATATTATATTTTATTATTATAATAATAATATTACATTATTATTACCTTCTTTTTTTTTCTTTTTTTATTAAACAAATGCTCCAGTCTATTCGTGGGGAGCAGCACATGCTGGGAACCGGGCCCAGCATCCTATTTCAAATTGTACAGATCATTGAGAACATTTGAGATTATTTGAGATACCGGGGCCATTACCTGGCTTCGGCTGAGAACATCAGTGAACACGGTATGAATGAGAAAGCATGGGGAGGATCATGAATATCTAACGACCTATTAAGGAACTACTCATGCAATAGGTTACCACAGAGGTCCTACGAATGCTCACAGCCCTCGGGATCCCTAACAAGCCCTTCTAAGACTTTCCAACAGTCTTACTCCCAGCCCTCGGGATCCCTAACAAGCCCTTCTAAGACTTTCCAACAGTCTTACTCCCTGCTGAGCTCTTCCAGGCCTCACATCCCCACCCTGCTGGGTTACAGGGCAACACAACTCGCCCCAGCTCCGACCAGCGTCGTCCCAGCAGCAATCCTTGGCTGTCCCTTGGGATGCCCACCCCAAAGCATCCCCAGATCTCTCTACCAGGCCTCACGCTCCTGCATCAGCAGGTTACAGGGCAACACCCCAGCACCGGCCAGCGTCGTTCTGGCATCGAACAGCCGCAGATCACTGAGTATGACAACATCGAAACCACCTAAGATGGGTTGCTAAGAGTCCCTAGAGTCCTAAGGCATTCATAAGAACAACGGACTTTTTTTTTTTCCCACTATTCAAACTCTACCAAGTCACTAGAATATGTGTGTCAAAACGCCTCCCAACCACGAATCAGATAGGTGAAACCTATTCAATCCACCTACGACCACCACCAGCATGGCTGTTTTCAGCACGAACCGAAGCTCTTCCAGGCCTCATGCTCCCATCAGGTTAGGTTACAGAGTTGCACCACCTTGCTCCAGCACCGGCCAGCATTGCTCCAGTTACAACCCCCGATGACCACTGAGACTGCCCCCACAAACAGCCCCCCAGAGCTCTCTACCACGCCTCACGCCCCCACTAAGCTAGGTCACAGAGTTGCGCCACCTGGCTCCGGCTCCGGCCAGCGTTGCTCTAGCATCGGTCTTCGAGGGCCACCAAATTTTCAACCACCCTTCGCAGGATCGCAGATGACTTGCCAGATAGCACCTATTCCTACAGCCTCCTCGAAAGGCAAAACCAAATGGAAAGAAATAGTAAACTGGATGATAGGCTTATTCGAGAGAGATCGCTCCCTCCCCCTACCCCTCCCCCTTCAGCCCTACGCTGCCTCCGCCGAGGTGAGTCACCCACTCTCCCTCGGCCCCAATATAGGACCAACCCTCTACCCCCCTTTCCCCAGGAGCACGCAGTTCCCACCTAAAGCATGCCCCCCCACCCCTTGCTCATTTCTGCCTCCGCAGGGGCTGATATTGACCCATGCACCAGCCCCTGCCCCAGAAAGGCGCAACCCCCTACTCCGCCCCTACCCTCTTTGAGGCATTCACCCCCCACCTTGTGATGCCCCTGCAAGATAGAGCTCCCCCCACCCCCTTCCTACCGTTTAGCCCTCCAGGAACGATCCGATCCAGCCTACTACAGTTACTGATGACACACTTACCAAAATGTCCTTCGCAATTTGGAAAAGCAGGGCCTCTTCAAAAATATGCAATAACCCCATAGGATTCCTAAAATATGAATGAAAGAATCGAAAATTTTTGAAACTTACGATGAAGAAAAGGTAGATGAGATTTTTTGGATTTTGCTGATGACGATGAACAGCACCCTGAAGCTGATGATGATGAGGATGATCGTGACGACCAACTCACCTGCTGATGCAAAAGGCAAACAATGCCTTGAAGAATAACATCTAATGATAACAAACTGATGATGATGATGGTAATGATGAGAATGAAGACAAAATGATGATGCTGATCATACTTAAAGAGCAGCACCAACAGCCCCTATGATTACAAACTGATGATGGTAATGATGATGATGATGATGATGATGTCGGTAAAGATGATAATGATGATGATGATGTCGGTAAAGATGATGATGATGATGATGATGATGATGATGATGATGATGATGATGATGACGACACACAGCGCCCAGTGATGACAACATGATGATGATGGTGTTGATGACGAGCGCCTTTGATGATAACCTAATGATGATGATGATGATGATGATGATGATAAGGATGAGCAGCGCCCTACGATGACGAGCTTTGCCAAGCCATGATGGTGAAATATTGACGATGGTAATACAACAATGAGTGACAAGCAGCACCCCTGATGAACGGCTCCTTGATAATGATGATGATACTAGCGCCGAACAGGAGTGAGGACGTACGCCTTGATGATGATGACGAGCAGTACCCTGATGATGATGATGGTGATGACGAGCAGCCCCCTGATGACGATGACAAACCATTACCGTGATGATGATGTCGAACCACGCCCTGTTGATGATGATGACGAGCAGCACCCTAATGATGATGTCGAACCATTACTGTGATGATGGTGTCGAACCGCGGCCAGTTGATGATGGTGCTGGTGGTGATCAACGCCCCGTTGCTGATGACGAGTAGCACCCTAACTATGCTACATATCTACCTCCTCATGATTGCAGTCGCCACTGCACTCGCACTTCAGTTTTACCAAGGGCTGACTCCACTGTACTCCACAGGCATCGACATAGCCACTGCCTCTCAGGCCAAATGCCACGTGCAAAACAGCAGCGGCAATGGAGTGAAACGTGGAACTCCCAGAAGAAGAAAAACGGGAGTCAGTCCAATCGCCACATCAGCTTGTGACGTGGCGTGGACAAGCGCCTTCGGTCACCTGCGCGTGCGCAAAGCGCCTGGTTTACAGAAGAGATGGCCACCATCTCCGCCGCGCACCGTCACCATGGCCCACCTGTGCGATGCCGCAACCCGGGGCAGAGCGCAGCGCTCCCGGTAGCGCCGCGCCCCACCCTATTATTACCTAATCTTCGCAATGTTGGATTACACACCATAACAATACATGTTCATACATTTGGGAAACAACTGCTGCACACATATAAGCCGGCACAAAACAACTAGCCAGTGCATTTGTGGGAGGAAAAAAAAAAAAAAAAAAACTGAAAATGTAACAAGCAGCATGAGTACAGCCGAAGGACCAAAAAAAAAAAAAAAAACAGATAAAACGCACGCTGAGACCTTGTTTGTCTACTTGTCCAGACTTCAGACCATATGTACTTCGTATAAACCTCAAGATCATTACAATGAATACAATACATTGAATAGTGCAGCTTTTTTTTTTATAAATAAAAGTCCAGGTTGTTGTAGAGGCTAGCCATGACCAGGCATATGACACTCCCTTCAGTAGTTGGGCAATTGATCATCCAGACGATTTTTCTGTACAGCCCCCTATGCGACTCCCTCCCACCCTTACACTCATCATTACTGTCCCCCGCACATCCCTACTCCCAAGGTCCTACCTTAATTTTTTTACCACCCAGGATCATCTCACCCTTTTCTAGTGACCTGACCGAACAGTGGTTATAGGCATCAGGGCTAAGCAGGTCCTCACCTCCCTCCCCAGCCCTGATTGAAGCATATAGTCGGACGAGCCCTGGTGCAGCTATTATTGGCATAATATAATATAATATAATAATATGACCTTTCTTTTTTTTTTCTTTTTTTTTTTTAACCACTAGTACCTCCGCCAGTGTTGGGAAATTACAATGTTTTGCCAGTTCCCGAAGTTATGGGGGGTGGGACACAGGGTCGGCACTGTCCCATAAATCAGATTTTTATATTGCCCACGAGTGAAAGAACAAGGAAAAAAAGAAAGTACTATCTCTACTGCAATGATGTCGGGCAGGGTAGTCTTGGAGGTCGTGCTCAGAGTCTTCCTCCACAGAATGCATCTCACCAGTAAGGCGGTCACATTCTGGATGTTACTGTTTTCTTTTTTTTCTTCCTCGTGTGTTTCTTACAAGTCCCCCGCCAATGAGGCAGGGGGGAATCCGTGAATTGCTCAAGCCGTCCGTGATCTGCTCAAGCTGTGTTTTGTCAGAGGATTGTAACACTCGTCACACTGGTACTAAGAGGAATGTATCCAGCCATTTTCATGGCCGGATCAGTGTGCCCGTTTCCCCCCCCTTCTATTCTCTTTTTCGAATCTGACAACCTGGCCGCGGGGCTGAGATGCCCTCACTGAGGGCACACTCACATTACCACTTCCAAGAATGTATACAACTGCAATCACGGCCAAAGCTTTGTTTCCTTTTTTTTTCTTTTCTTTTTTTTTGAGGTCACGGCCGCAACTTTTCTTCTTCTTTTTTTTTTTTTTTTTTTTTTTTTTTCGTGAGAGTACCAGAAAGAAAACGGAGTGGTACCCAGGCTCGGCAAACTCGGAGCGCAGTGAAATTCAGGGTCGGCAAAAGCAGGCTCGGACGTACTAGTGGTTTAAAGCTGCCTTCGCCTCATCGGGGAACAGCCATATATTTTTCTCTCACCTCATGGACGAACGCCAGTTGAAAAACAATATGGCGTATAACACGTCCTATATTTAATGTATTTTGTAACACAAAAAGACTTTAAAAAAGTAAAAAAAAAAAAAGTAGTTTTTTATACAGCATTCGTATGTTATCATTATACTTCTCATCGGGACAAAATAACAAATTAAGGAGAAGCAAGCAATTGCGCATCAGCAACTAGAGCTGCAATGGACAACCACCTACCAGTTGGTCTGCGATAGCTTCGCAATGACTGCACAAATGACGAGACCAGGAGATCCACCCCCTCAGGAGATTGGCGGCAGACGTCCATCACCGACTCCTCAAGCTCGGCACGGTCAATTTCTGCCATGTCTACCTCGCGCTTAACATCCACCATCCCCACGTCTCTCTGTCCGTCCATATTCACTTGGCTGGCCATGCTTTCACATGGAGATCGGCTTACCTGGGGCTCTGCCATACCGTCTTCCACCTTTTTCTTTTTCTCTTTGTTTTTCTCACTCCTCCTCCTCCTCCTCCCACGGTCTTCTCTCTTTCCCTCCCTCCCCCGACCCCCCCCCTCACTTCTCCAGTCCGACCAATCACGCCGAAGAATAACAACTGAATCTCAAGTCAAAAAAAAAAAAAAAAAAGGCAATCAACCTGAATGAACCAACTCCTCCCGCAGATATCTAGCTCTTACAACTACACTAACAAAAGAACATAAAATTTTATAAAAACTTAAATTTGATAAAAACTTAAAAAAGTATTCCGAACAGCGGAAAAGGATCGAATCAAATCAAACACGAATCGAAACACAAATCATTACCAAATGAAATAAAACCAAAAAAAAAAATCAAATCGACTAAACGCTAGCCGAATCAAGCCCAATCAAATCCAATCAAATCAAAATGACCGCACCAGACAAAATGGCTGCACATAAAGGCCTGGGCGCATCCACAAGCCTGACCGTTGTTGATCTTCATAAAGACCTGCAGAAATATCAATCAAAAGCAACACACGACCAAACTATGCTTGCACCGTGCACCTCCCCTCTCTTGCCGAAAGCTGCCTCGTTGACGTCAGCTAGTGTCGTTGACAATACCGAGAACCGTTTCTGAGGCTTCCATGGGGCCCAGTGTGGCAGAGCTATCCATGCTCCGACGGCGAAAGATCTAAAGATCTACGTTGGCAATCTTGAGAAGCAAGCGAGGACCACCTCCAGCACAAAAAAAGCCTGTTAATTTTGAAACAAATAAATAAATGAAGTATATTTTGCCACAGTCAACACCCACGGAAAAAAAAAAAGAAAAAAAAAAAAAGAAAAGAAAAAACACCCACGAACAAAATGGAAGTCAGTTGCTGTGCCATGCTCCTCTCTCACCCCCTCAATCCATCCCATTTCCCCTGGCTGCTGCCTTTCTAGAGCTTTTCCTTGCACACTTCTTGTCCAACAAACATTGATGCAAAGTTGCAAACACACTTTTCAAGATCTATTACAAATCGACCCAAAAACAAAATAAAAAAATGGTGTTCTGAACTAGGCTACCAGAGTGGCCCGGGACCACTTGCTCGGCCGGCCCCAAAAAAAAAAGAAAAACAAAGTACCTTTTATCTTAAATTTGTTTTTTTTTTTGTTTTTTTTTTTTTTTAAAGGCTAATTCTTTAAGCCCAACCAATTCAATTACCTGTCAAATCTGGGCAGGACTGCCTTTAAGGCCTTTTTTTATTGTCATTATAGTATTGCGGGGAACCCCGTAGCAGCCACATCCATGCTCAAGCCTCCAACGAGGGAACATGCGGGAGCTGCACCCACCAGCAGGTGCGATACCAGCTACAGCAGGTGGGCGATACCGGCCAGGGGTCAGCCGGTAGCATCAGGACCGAGCGTCTTCTATGGGCCAGTCACTGTGCCTCCCCTCCGGCCCCCTCCCCCTATGAACATCAGCAGTCTCTGCTCAATGCCAATCCGGCCATTTCTGCTTCTGGACTATAATTCCCAAGGCCTGCACCAGAAACTGGGTAATGGTCCCAGAGGCAGCTGAGAGGCTATTATTTTCCGGGTTGCTTGTGGAGAATTTCAGGCCTCCCCTTTTTGTTTCTTGTTCAATGAAACGCAGAGTTGATTGTAAAAAAAAAAAAAAAAAAAAAAATTKTTCAGCTTCCTAAAAAAAAAAAAAAAAAGTTKTTYAAYTTWTTTTTYKGYATAACATTTTTYTTTTTGCAGATTTTTTGGATTTTTTTTTTTTTGGCCGGACCTTACTTGGTCCTTGCACGGCCGGGCCACCCAGGCTAACAAGGTGACCCAGGCAGCCCGGCTGGTAGCCTAGGATTTATTTTTACCCGGGCCTTCCCTGGTCCTTGCACGGCTGCACCTCCCAGGAAAACAAGGTGACCCGGGCGTCCCGGTCGGTAGCCTAGGTTCTGAAGGCACTCCTACAGAACGATAGTCAAGGAGAAAAGCAAACAACGAAAAAAAGCTAAAAAAAACTAGGCTGGTCCCCGGGCCGCCCGGTGACCTGCTCGTCGCCCGGTGCGGGGGGCAGGGTCGCCTGGCCGGTTGTCCCTCCCGGTTGGCCACCAGGCGACCCCAGCGCGTTGGAGAAGAGGGGGGGGGGTCGACGGTTTTCGGTGTGGGGGGCCGTCCAGGCCGGGGAAAACTGGGTCCGGTAGGCGTGATTTCAAATCGGGACCAATCTGGGCCGTCAATCTCAAAGATCGACAGTGAGGTGGGAACTGCCGGCCCCGTTCCCTCCCCCACACGAACACTCTCCCCCCCAAGTCTCCCCGTTCTCTCCCTTGCACGACGCCTCCCTCCACCTGTCACCATTCGTCGACGGCAACTCCGACGAATCCCGCCAACGCCCGCCATCGCGCGTGACCCCACTGTCGCCCGCCAACGGCAGCCATCACAGTCCCCCACCAGCACCAAGGTAAGCGGGTTAGTTTGGAGAGAGAGAGAGAGAGAGAAAGAGAGAGAGAGTTCTTCTTCGTCTTCTTCGTCTTTTTCTTCTTCTTCTCGCCAACGTTTCTCACCCCCTGCCTGCCATCCTCCACCACCACTCCCAACCCCCCCCCTGAAACCCCTGGAAAACTTCGCATGCATAACTTCTAATCCATGACGCATCCCGTAATTGCGCCGTCTACCTCAGAGGATGTGCCTTCATGGTCCAAGCTGGAGGCTTTAGAGCTCTGCAGTCAGGGAAGTTCGATTGGTTACCCCCTTTCCCCCAGGGGTGGGTTGTCTGCCAAAGTTACATCGTGAGGACGTAGGTGCTCCAGTGGCAGCAGCATTGTCAAAGGGTCGGGGTTATGGTTTCGAAGGTTGGGAGGGAGTTTCGCACACAAGACGTTAAGGCACTGCTGTTGTACATTCGCATTCATGTTTGAGCAAGCGGCCTGCAGCACTTCGCTTGATTGTGGAGCGACGTGGAAGTTCATCCGGCAGTCGTTCATCACCAACGCTGGCTCGCGGCCTAAAATGTTTAGAAAGACATGCCCCTGTAGGTTGCCTTGGAAGATGATGGCACTGTGCAACACCACTGACCAATGCCTGGAGTCCATGCCCGTTTACTGTGAGCCTCACATTCGGGAAACCATCAACTTCAACATTTCGAACACACCATTCACTAAAATCTTGAAAATGACTTGGCTTCAGAGTGAGGGGGGCATGCGGTAGACTTCCATGCACGAACTATCGTGCTTCGTAATGCACCTGCCAAATCGATTCCATGTGATGTACCTCCCCCTTGGCCCTCCATCTCTTGCCACGTTGTTTCATCTACAAACTTTCATACAACTTGCCGTGTTGTTTCATCTATGCGCTGCCACGTTGTTTCATCTACAGACTTTGGGCATATATGTTTTCCACATGCTGCTGACTTTGACGCCGTTTGTGGATGTATTCCTGTCTTGGCGCGCAGCAGAAATCGACATCTGGAAAAAGAGCATCGGATGCGCTGTTGGTTTAAGAGAATGCCTCAACCTAGCTCGGAACGACCACTACCGTCTTCCCCCGAACACAACAACGCACCCTCATCTTGGCTGTACCAGACCGGAAATATAACTTGTATACTTTCATTTTCAGGGTGTGTTATGTTCGGGGGGAAGACCGTGGCATTTTACAATGAGAAAACCCCTGCATTTTCAACTACCACGTCGGCCATGGTAGAGTTGAAAGTTGAAAATGTGCCCTCCCTTGCGCCGGCGTGAGCTGCATGGGTCTGAGTGGGATTTCCAAAAGCATTTCCTCTCTTCTGTTAGAATCTATACTATCTACACTTGCATACTCTGGGAAGATTAGTCATCTGTTAACGAAAAATTTTCGACCGAGTGCATTCTTCTCCACCGGAGAGTGCACGCGCCGCAAGTTTCGGGGGGGTCGGCCTAGCCCTACTGGAGCAAAATGGCTGGCGGCACCAGCCGAAAGAAGACGCACAACAGCTCGTGTTTTTGGGCATGCAGTGCGTTTCCAGAACCGGCCGGGGGCGAAGGGTCAAAAAGTACTGGTCTGGTTTAATGCACACCTGAGGGTGTCAGTGGTACTCATGCACATGAGAAGGTCGTGGGCTCATGGTGGGGCAATAATTGTCCTATGCGTTGGTGAGGAAGAGATCTACTACAAGATTTGTACCATATCGCCTCTGCAGTTATTCAGCAAAGGGAGGTGAGAAAAGTCATTGCTGTGGAGAAAAGAGAGCGAGAGAGAGAGAGAGAGAGAGAGAGAGAGAGAGAGAGAGAGAGAGAGAGAGAGAGAGAGAGAGAGAGNGAGAGAGAGAGAGAGAGAGAGAGAGAGAGAGAGAGAGAGAGAGAGAGAGAGAGAGAGAGAGAGAGAGAGAGAGAGAGAGAGAAAGAGAGAGAGAGACCCCAATGGGACCAGTCCGACCTATAGGACCTTGGCCTGAGTGGTACCGGGAAATCTCTAACGTTGGGCCCAATGGCGCCCGGTTGGTTCATCTACCAAGTGTGATGGAAAACAGGTTGAGTCATATTAATTGTGTATTGATCTTCTGCGCTTGATTATCAATCAATCAATCAACTGACTTGGCCCCGGTTCCCAGCACGTTTCCCCAGCCATTTTTCTACGTCGGATCATGCATGCATGCATGCATGCAGCCAGTGGGGCGAGATTTACCAGGGTGCCATTTCGCCAAAAAAACCATCCACGCAAATTCAGGCCTTGCACGTGTGACCAGTTTTGCCTAGACGGATTTCCAATGGCAACGGCACTTGGGCAAATCCCACTTCCCACTGGACGTCGCTGCATGCACACGCATCTTTGAAGATCGGCTGGGCGAGCCTCCTTTTCCCAAAGGAGGGCCACCATGCTACCTTCTTCCCCCGAACACAACGCACCCTCATTTTGACTGTATCGGGCCGCAAGCATACCTTGTCTACGTTCATTTTCAGGGTGCGTTATGTTCGGCGGAAGACGGTAGGCCTGGGTGTCCCCTGCAGTACTGCCAAGCAACTGGAATCCCAGTTCCCAGTGGACGTAGCTGCATGCACACGCATCTTTGAAGATTGGCTGGGCGATCCTCCTTTCCCCGAAGGAGGGCCACCATGCTAGGCCTGGGTTTTCCCCTGCTGTACTGCCAGCAACTGGTACACCTGCATCGTTAGGCTCAACAGGTAAGGTCCCACTTGTTTTGCCCCTCACCAACATTGTTAGGCTCAACAGATAACGGGACCCAGGGCAAGGTCCCATTTGTTTTTTTGCACCTAAAGACAAAAATGATGGCTGTGTAGCTTCCTATGTTCTAGCGAAAGATTATGGCGGTTTAAAAAAAAAAAAAAAAAAAAGATTATGGCGGTTAAAAAAAAAAAAAAAAAGATTATGGCGAGTGCATCTTGCACACTTGGCGAGTGGTGCCCAAAATCTCTCTTGACATGGGCGAGTGGTGGCCATATCTCTTGATACATGTCAGCGGTACCACTACGGTGATACCACTACGGTGTGACCCATCTACGGCCACCGTGGCTCACTACGGGCGCGGACTGGATTTTGCGCAAGCTAAGCCATTGGTTAGTGGGAACGGGGGGGCAGTCCCCCACTAGCAGGGCTGAGTTTCCTCAACGCCCGAAACTGGACGTGTTTGTAGAGATGTGCAGAAAATAGCGTTGAGTTTCCTCAACGGCATACCTCTCCACAAACACGTCCAGATTCAGGCGTTGAGGAAACTCAACCCTTCTCTAGTGGGACTTCTCCCTGGAGAAAAGTGCCTCGGAAGTACTGGT